GCCCCACCCCCGCTTCCTCGGCACTTGGATTTAAAGGGACAGGAACTGCGTAACGGGAAGACGCCCTGCGCCGGGGCGCTCTCTCTGTGCCACCGCCCGGGCCGGGGAGGTGTAGCAGGCGGCGCAGGCTCAGGCCCCGAGGAGGACGCCCATTCCTGCCGCGCCCCTCTCCCGGCTCTGACCCGCGCCGCCGGCCCGGACTCGGCCCACAGGCTCTCTGCAAACCACAGGTGGTTTTTTTCCTATGACAGATAATCTCTGCTTTTCCTCCTGGCCCGGGAGGGGTGCCTCAGAAAACGTGCATTTGGTGAATTCCTTCCTCCCATAAATCAAGGGAAAGTCGGACCACATGAGCCTCTGTCAGAGCAGAGCGCCCACATCCCATGAGCCCTGAGCCTGGCCAACAGGTAGCCCCTACTCCGGAGCGCCTTGTGGGGCGGAGTGGGGTCGCACTGGGGCTTGGAGGCCTCTCCCCACACACTCTCACCGCATAGTGTCTGACTCTTGGTTCGTCCATGGGCCATGGAGACAGGAGCCTGCGCCCCTGCTTTCCGGGCTGAGCCGGCAATGGCTGCAGTGGGAGGCCGCCGAAGTCTGCTCACTGCAGGGGCCATGCGGGTGCCTGGGTCAGGGGGGCGGGGGTGCTGTGAACCAGGACTCAGGACCTGTGGACCCGTCCCTGCTCTGGCTAAAAGGAAGATCAGCCCCTCGGGGATTCCCGGGGTTCAGCCCGAACCTCTTGCCTTGGGCACAGAGCCCCTCCACAAACGCCAGGGGCCAGGAAGCCAGGACCCCTTCCCCGCTCTGGGGCCTTGGGGACATCCACTTCTGTGTCACGGTAACCATAGCCCCAGGTGCCTTCTGCTCCTCACTTGCTTCTCTGGAGTTTCCTTTAAAGCCAGCAGGTGGGCTGCTTAGGTCCAGCACATCCTGGCCTTTATTGGAATTCACGGCTCACAGAGCAGCTAACCTCTCACCCACAGGGCACCCCTAGGTCTCCACTCTCAGGACCACACTTGGTGTTATAGAGAGCCCTTCCCAGTCCTCGCTGCAGCCCAGGAAGTTTGTATTTGTAATCCCATGAAAAGTTATTGGAATTCGAGTGAGTTAATTCCAATCTACCACTTCCAGTGCAACCCATGGTGAGAAGAGACACTAAGGCATATTTATAGTTATGGGGAGCCAAGGGGTCCTAAGTCCAGCCATGACAATGGCCACCCGGAACAAAGGTCTTGACCCAAGGCTGAACCCAGGTTTTATTCATTCGTGAAGAAGGGAGTGGCTTGAGGATGAGTGATTGTGAGAACCTGGGAAGTAGGTGAGTGCCCTGAGCTGGGCTAGGCAGGAGGCCTGAAATCACCCCTGCAAATGCAGAGAGAAGGATATGCAGAAAGAGTAATGTGCATAACACAAATGAGATAGTATCTAATACTTCAGGGTCCGTGCTTCAGCTCTGGTGTGTAATGTTTCAAGCCCCAGGAGGTCACAGCCTCTATCTGGAGGCTGGATCCCAGCTGACAGCGACAGCGTGGAGCACTGGATCACACGTGGGAACAACGGGGGTCTGGGGAAACACAACTGCCATCTCCAAAGATTGCCATCAGCACCTGGGCTCGACGGATATGCAGTGCTTAAAGCCAACTGAAGGGATAGGGAAAAGTCCTGGCCAGCTCTGTATGTATCAATACATGGAAACAGGGTCAGGCTCAGCCAAAATGGAGGCAATTGCTCCTCCTTCAAAGAGAGTCGCCCAGGTGGTCCTCCACAGGTGTCACCAGACTTTGTTTTTGTTTCAGCCTGTTTATTCTGTCCATGGCAATGGGCATGAACTAGTATCTCCTGGCTGTTCCCTATAAGTAAAACTACATGTTGCGATTGTGTGGGCAAAAAATGCTACAGATTTGTTCTCCCGGGATTTAGGTTCGAATCCTGGCTCTAGGGCCTGTTGCTGTGTGCTTTGAGTGGCTGCTTACTGTCTGAGCTGTTTTCCCATCTATAGAATAGGCATAATGGTTCTCATAGGGTATCCCTGAGAATGCAAGGCGCTGGGCACCCAGCACCTGGCCAGCACTTGGGAAGCAGGAAGTGGTACTGCTCTAGGAGGTGGCAGAGTCCCTCAGGGGCACACCCAGCCTGCAGACTGCCCCCAACACTGTGGAAACAAACCTTGCTATCACTCTGGTACATGCTGCATTTTCTCCCATTTTATTTCGATCCCTTTTCTGCTGATTCAGCAGCCCTTCCTCGCAAGCAATGGCTTGCAGCTGAGATCCTGTGGGAAAGTGGCGCTGGGGTCCAGGCACTCGCTCGTCAGCACCTTGTCCCTGGGACCGTGTGCGCCCTTTCTCCTGCAGCTCCACCCTGGCCCCAGCCGGCAGCACCAGGCCCACTCTCTGGAATGCACCTAGGAGAGGGATTTGTGCACGCTGGAAATTGTTCTCCCATCGAGGAGCGCTGGCAGCATTGATTTAATTTTGGAGAAAATTCTCCAAGGCTGTAAACACAGCACCACCCAGCAACTTAGAAACAGAACCCAGGGAGGAAAAAAGCCATGCCTGTGTACTGTTCCACAGCCTGCGAGCCCCAGGCCAGGTGAGCGAGTCTCCGGGGTTACCGCCTATGCTCCTGGGGGTGGAGAACCCACACTCTCCTCTTCTAAGGCCGGTGTGGCCCCTGGGACAGTGCCTTCCCCGTGGGGGAACCCACCCTTCCCTCCTGACGTCAGCACCTGCTGTCTCCTTTGCTGGTCTCCTCCCAGGGCAGGGAAGCTCTCTGGTTGCGGCCCCGGGAGACTTCCTGGCTGTCCTGTGTGAGCACAGCCTCTTGGCACCATGCAGAGGCCCACCACATTCCGCCACGTTCCTTAAGAACTTAGCCACCATCCACAGCTACCTGGGTTTGACTTCTGGTCTATGCTGGTGTTCATCGCCCATCACAGGCACTCTCCTTCCGTCTGAAGCGGATGTGCTCTGGCCTCTGTCCCCAAGAATCTGGGCTGCAAAAAAGACAGCAAGTGACACAGAGTGGCTTCAAAGGCCAGCTTGTGAGCTGAACTGTAGCCTCGTGCCCTTGGGATGCTTGAGTCAGAAGTCACCGTGCTGTCAGGGCTCAGAGGCAGCCCCGTGAATAGGACAACAAGGAGAGGAGAGAAAGGAGAGGAGAGGAGGGGAGGGGAGGGGAGAGGGGGAGAGGAGGGGAAGGGAGAGGAAAGATGAGGAGGGGAGGGGAGGAAAGGAGAGGAGGCCTCCAGCCCCCGGCTGGTGCCCAGCCAGCAGCCAACACCAGGCACATCGTCTTGAGAATAGATGCCCAGCAGCCACCCAGCTAGGCAGAGACAGCCCTCCCATCAGCTCAGTTTCAGAACAATAAATTACTGTACTGTTCTAAGCCGGGGATGGTGTACCCTACAGCCTGGAGGCCAAAATGGCCCCTTGCCTGTTTTTATAAATAAAGTTTTATTGCAGCACAACTATGCCTATCCACTTACGGATGTCTGCAGAGACTTTCACACTATGACGGTACAGTTGAGTAGCTGTGACAGGCACCACAGGTCCCACAAGGCCTAAAATATTTCCCTCCTTGTAACTTACCCCCAACAAGGGTGTCAAGCCCTGCGTTTTGGTCTGCACAGACTGCTGTACCAACATGCCACCAGCTGCACACTCAGTCAACAGGAGTTTATGGCTCACAGACCTGGAGGCTGGATGTCCAAGGGCAAGGGTCTGGCCAGCTCTGTTTCTGGTGAAGGCTCTCCCCACTGACGGACAGCTGCCTTCTCACTGCGTCAGGACCCCATGTCTCCCTGTTCTGGGTTCCGCAGTTTCTCCTCAGGTTGGGCGCTTTCTGTCTCTGCCCCACAGGAAGCACGCTCTGCTGCCATCTCTCTTTCTACCCTAACGTGGCTCACCCGGACTCCCTGGTCCCGAATCCTGACGCCTGGGAGAGAGATTCTGCTTGGGTCAGTGGGGCCAAGTGTCCCCAGCAGTTGTGGTCAGGGAGGGGTGTCCTGTCCACCCACAACAAGAAGATGTGGGTGGCATTTCTAGTGCAAGGAGAGGAAGTGTAATCTGAGCTAAAAGTTGAAATGGAGGTTCTGTTGATGGAAGAGATGATTAGAAATTGCAAGGGCAAGAGCTTTGGAAAAATGGAAGGCATCATCTTACCTTCTTGCTTACCAAGAACCAGAACCATGCACAAGCCAGGAACAAGTTCACGAGGAGACAGTGGTGAAAAGAGGTGGAGGAAGAGGAGGGTAATGCCGAAGTGACTTGGAGGGGTGAGCAAGAAGACAGAGGCTGCGACGGCAGCGATAGCAATGGTGAGCTTGGCTGTGGCAGTGATGAGAATGAGCCAAGGGCTGGCGGTGGTGGTGACAGCAGTGACAGGCATGTTTCTGATGG